GACGTACTTTATTCATTTTTAAATGTTAATAGAAGATTCGATAAACTAGTACGTGATAAGATTTATACTCGTTCGATTGAATTGATTAAAAACAATTGTGAAGACGAAGATAATTGTTCATTATCTGATCAAATATTAGATCGTTTTTGTTTTGATTTATTACCTCAAATACATAATATTATTGAGCAATTCATTCTGGAATCATTTTCCATGGAAAGAATTCTTTACGCTGGTAATTATCCGCAATTATGTCAACTTACTCTTGTTAATTTCGCACAAGAGTTAGCAATAAGAGTTTTGGCAGGTAGAAAATATTTTTCTTCGTAAACAATATTCAACAAATGAGACACCTTTTTTTAGACGAATCTTATTTTGCTCATATTTTCAAAAGCCAAATCACGCATCTTGTTGTCTTGATCGATTATACTGAATCAAGATCATATGACGACTTAAGAATAAATGTATTTCAGCGTATTTTTTCTCTGTTGACAACTCTAACAGATTTGGATTTTGGACAATGCTCTAGGTCCCTTCATCCAGTATTGACATTCAATAATTCATCTGCAGATGAGTGTTTTTCGTCAACTATTGTGAATTTACGTATCAATGTACGCACATTCGACGATTGTCAATGTCTTCTTGATGGACGCCTTAGTCAACTACGTACATTTATTGTGAGAATTGATTTTATTTCCAACTCAAAATTATCTGTCAATAATACAGTAAGAGTATTGATTTTAGTTGCATTGATTAAAAAAATCTTTACTTTTTGAAAAGGATATTTTACACCTCGAATGTTTCTCACTAACTTCATATAATCAAACTCTTGATTATGATAGTCATGTTGTGCCGCTTCTTCGTCGAATGAGATATCTTCAACAACTTACATTATATGCCATTGTTACCAATCGATCGACATTTATTGATGGTATTCATCTCAGTAATGAGATTCTAGATCATATACCTCAACTTCAAACATTCAACTTCAATATAATTACTTATACTTATGCTAATAATCAATTGTATGAAAACATTAAATGCACATTTCCCAACGGGAAATTCAGTCAGGTTGATTTTTACTTAGATCAATATCCAAATGGAGAGGCTCGATCTCACATCTACTCACTTCCATACAAAATGAATGTCATGCATGATATTAGTAGTAACTTTCCTGGAGGTCTATTTACCAATGTTCATGTTATATGGTTGGCGGATATTTTTTGTCCATTTGAACATAAATTCTATGATCGAATTGCTCGTTCTTTTCCGTTTCTAACTGAGCTAACTGTTATTAACTATATACCACGAAATTATAAACCATTACAGGAAGCAAACAACAATAATCAAGTATCAT